TGTGTGTGCGTGTGCGTGTGTGCGTGCGTGTGCGTCTCTTCTTGGAGCCTGCCGCGCTGGGCGCTGCGCCCGGCGGCGGCGCGCCGGGGTGCGTCCTGTGCGGCGCCGCTCGCGCGCCTCCGCCCGCCGCGGGCCCCCGCGGGTGGTGGGGCTGGCCCGGCGGGGGCGGGGGCGGCGGCGGCGGCGGGGGCCGCGTAGCGCCGCGGCGCCCATGGAAGCCGGGGATCTCGTCGCCGGGAAGGCGCGCGCCGTTGGCGTGGGCGCCGGCGCGGTGGCCAGGCGGGCCGGCGCCGGCGGGCGCCGTCTTGTCGTCGGCGGCCGCATCCGCACCGACGATGCGAACCCGGCGCTCGGGCTTCGCGTTGGAGCTCAGCTTCGCGGACACGTTCGCCTGCCTCATGCGGTCGAAGTCGACCTCGTACTCGCAGCCGCGGGCGCTGTACGCCACGCGGCGCTCGCCCGCCGCGTGGGCGGAGGCCAGGACGTCGTTCTCCTCGTCGTCGTAGTCCACCCAAATGCCGTTCCGCATCTCCCACTGGAACTGGAGCTGGGGCATCCAGCGGATGGCGCGCCGAAAGCCCGTCGCCGAGTTGACCTGCTCCTCCAGCCGCAGGTCCGCCTCGTACAGGACGCCGTGCGCCACGTAGGCCACCTGGGCCTTCCCGAAGCGCCTCGCGGCCACCAGCACCGCCGCGGCCTCGGGGTCGAACGCGTGCCAGACGTTCTCCGGGCCCTCCCACTGCCACTCCCCGGCCAACTTCTGCGCGCCGCCTGACCGAGAGGCCTCCGGCACGGGCGCAGTCGCCGTCCAGTGGACCTGGCTCCCTGTCTCCGCGGAAGGCGCCGCAGGCGCGGCCTTGGCGCGGGTCACCCAGGCCTCTGGCGGCACGAACCTCATGCGGCGCGTGGTGAGGGTCTCCATCCGTGTCTGCGTGAGCAGGTCGAGGTCGATCTCGTAGCAGTCCCCGCCCGCGGCGCCCAGCAGGATCCTGGCCCTGCCCAGCTTCCAGGCCTGGTTCAGCTGGGCGCTGCTCCCCGCGTCGTACTCCTGCCATTTGCAGGAGAGCGGTGGCCCGGACTCGAAATACCTCGGGGGCCAGGGACGCTCTTCCTCCTCCTCCTCCTCCTCCTCCTCCTCCTCCTCCTCCGCCTCCGCCTCCGCCTCCTCCTCCTCATCCACCTCCGCTCCGCCTCCGCCTCCGCCTCCGCCTCCGCCTCTGCCTCCGCCTCCGCCTCTGCCTCTGCCTCCGCCTCTGCCTCTGCCTCTGCCTCCTCCTCCTCCTCCTCCTCCTCCTCCTCCGCCTCGTGCACGTTTTCTTATTCGGCGTTTCGGCATTGAGCGAAAGGGGGAGGAGGGGGGGGGTCTGGCTCTAGACCTCTGCTTAGTGCGACTGTCTGGAACAGTGCTCCCATGGGGAATCCTGAATCCTGTGTGGGAGTCCGTCGCGGGAATCCTACGTGTGAGAACTATGGGGAAATACCATGGGGGAATCCTGTGGGGGAATCTTGTGGCAGAAACCCATTACGAATCCCATGGGAAATCCTATGGGGGAGACTTCTGGGGGGATCTTGCGGGAGAATCCGAATCCCATTGGAATCTTCAGGATTTGCACTTCCAGAGGATCCCACAACAACTGGCTACCACTGGGGCCCGGGCGCACGCTTTTTGTTACAACGCACCCGGCGTCATGGAGCCCCGTTCTCATTTTCCGGAGGGCCAACCCGAAAACACAATGCACAGTTGCGCGAAGTGTCCACCAGGGGTAGGGCGACGATATCTATACATATCCACTGCTCCTGGCCAGGCCCATCCTGGGCCCAGGAGCGGTGTATATGCCTCCCTGGCCAAGCCAGGAGGGCGTATACACAGCTCTTGGGCCCAGGATTGGCCTGGCCAGGAGCAGTGGATATGTATAGATATCGTCGCCCTAAGGGGGGGAGGCGGGGCCCCCAGCGCTTACTCCACCCGCTTGAAGCCGGCGCCAAGAACAGCCAAGATCTGTTCCATAGGGGGGCGGGTTGCGAGCCCGCGCCGAACGGCAAAACAGTGAATGAGAAAAAGATCTCCGCCTTCTCCTCCTGTTTCTGCTCTCGTTCCTCCATTCTCCCTCTCCTCTCCCTCTTTCCTCCCCTCCTCTCTCCTTTCCCTCGTCATTCTGCTCCTCCTCCTTCTCCTCCTCCTCCTCCTCTCTCCTGCTTCATCCCTTTTCCTTTGAATAGCTCCTCCCCGTTGGACCCCTAGACGTGTCGGTAGGGCGGGCCGGGCGTTTCGCCTGAGACTTCCCCACCATTTGTGATCATGAAGCTTGAAATTTGCAGGAGTTTCAAGGATGGATGGCGGCTCGTGTTCAAAATTTGGGTATCGCCTTAGCGCCGCGCACATTCGTTTTAATCCCACCAGCCCTTTGGGCTAAGGTGGTCTAACGAGTTGTTCCTGTTCTCTTCCACAGTCCTCTTCCCTTCGGAGAGGGGTACCCTCTCCCTCCACTCCCTGAGCTTGGGGGGTGCCGCGAGGTGTCAGGGCGCCCAAGATGGCCCAAAATGGCTCCAAGAGGGCATCCGATGCTCCAACATGGCCTCCAAGGCGGCTTAAGATGGTCGAACGTGGTTCAATACAGCTTTCGACAGACCTCCAAGAGGCCCGACGAGGGCCACAAGACGGTTCCAAGTGCCCTCGGCGCCCCCTCAAGACCCCCCCCCCACGAGGCCCTCAAAATCTTTCAACACCTAAGGAACATACTGATGTTTGCCTTTTCGCCTTCTCGCTTCCGATGTACTTTTGAGGCCTCAAGATGGCCCCAAGATGGCCTGAGAGGCCCAAAAGAGGTCTCAGAGGCCCCCCGGACGGCCCCAAGAGCGCCCACGAGCGGCCCAAGAGCGCCCCAAGAGGCGATTTTGATCCCCATCCTTTGACCGGTGCCCTACAAGATGGCCCCAAGAAGCCTTCAAGGGCTCCCAGCAGGGCCCCAAGAGAGCCCCAAGAGGGCCCCAAGAGGGCCCCAAGGCGGCCCCCAGAGGGCCCCAAGAGGGCGCCAAGGCGGCCCCAAGAGCGCCCAAGAACGCCCCACGAGCGTCCAACGAGGGCAGTCGGTTTGCCGCCTCCTCCTCCTCCTCCTCCTCCTGCTCCTCCTCCTCCTCCTCCTCCTCCCTCCTGCTCCTCCTCTTCCTCCTCCTCCTCCTCTCCTCCTCCTCCTCCTCCTCCCTCCTCCTCCTCTTCCGTAGCCATTTTGGCTCAAGATGCTTTGTTCCACAGGGGAACACGTGGATACCGCTAGTCCGCGGCCAGTGCCAGGGCGCCTCAGCCCGACTGTGATTTCAGGGGATCTTCCTCCTGCCACCAGCGTGGCAGCACTTTCCCCTTCGCGCACTCATACGAAGTCATGGGGCCGCGGCCGTTCTCTTGGTGCACCTGCGGAAACTGGATCTACAACTTCCGACTCCATCGCAACGGCGGAGTATGCGACCATTGCAAGCAGCAGGTTGAGTTGGTCCAGCCAGGCGCCAAGGGGGCTAAAGGCGGCGGCAAAGGAGGCAAAGGGAGCAAAGGCGGCAAGGGCTACCCTCCCGCCAAGTACCCTTGGCGTACAGCTACCAAGACCGACGTCGGTGCGCTGCTCAAGCAATTGCTCGAGGAACCCGCCCTCTCGGTCCACGCTGAGGCTATTCAGTACATCGAAAAGTCCTACACATCCAGCTTGGAGAAGAAGAGGACGCCCAACCAGGAGGTCACCCGCACTGGCCAGACCCTGGAGCGCAAGGAGGCTGCGCTCAAGAAGACGAACGACGCTGAGCAGGCAGCCACACTCGCTTTGGAGGAGGCCCGCGCCAAGCAGCAGCAGGCCGCCATCGAGGCGATCGGCGCCCAGCAGGACTACGAGCAAGCGCTCCAGGTCCTGGCTGCGACGGCGGGGGCCAAGACGGCTACCCAGACGCACACCTCAGACGGGAAGCGCATCCTCCTGGCGGTGGAGGAGTTCAATTTCACGGAGTTCGACGACGACTACGACGAGGCGCAGCGCCTGCAGCTCACCACGATCCAGAAGCAGGTCGAGGCCCACATCAAGCAGGTCGAGCAGCTGCAGGTCCAGATGGCGGAGGCGCTCCGCAGCGTCAAGCAGATCCGCGCTGCACCCGCCGAGAAGATGCGGACGGGCACTGGCGACGCCGCCAAATGTCCCAGGGGCTGAGCAGGCCGAGGCGGCTGGCCAGCCCAAGCCGAACTCCATGGACGACCACGACGGCGACGCCATGGTCGACGTCGGAGACGACGACCTTGAGGAGGCGGACACCAAGCCCACCAGGCCGCCACCTGGCGCCAAGGAGGTGGCAGCCAAGATCGCGGCGCCCCGCGCAGAGACTGCCGGGTTGGCCGAGGCCAGCGCCAAGCCTGCTGCGGGCGCCGGTGCTGCCGGCAGTGCTGCTGCGGCCGCTGGCGGCGGCGGGTCCAGTGGCAGCGGCCCCCCTGCTGGTGCAGCCGCAGCCGCGGCGGCCGCCTCTCCGACCCCGCGGGTGGCCTCCCTGCGGGAGGCCGCCGCGGCCCTGCCGACACGGGCGCCTCGAGGAACGGCGGCGACGCCACGCTCTCCTTCGCCAACGTGTCGGAGTGGGGCCCCACGGCGCAGAGCTCCATGCAAGCTCAGGTTGAGCAGTACGACGTGCTCGGATTCGCAGAGACACACCTTCGCGGGGAGAAGCTTGACCGCTTCCACGGCGACCTCGCGAGGGACGGATGGAAGACGATTGCCACCCCGTCGGTGGCCACGGGCCGCTCAGTGGATGGCACCACGGGTGGCGAGGCCATCATCGCGAAGAAGACCCTCGCCACGACCAGCTTCGAGGGTTGGCGACAGTACGAGATCGCCCGCACCCGTTCACGGGCTTCTGTCCGACGGTCTGGCACACGAAGACAGGCAACAGCAATGCCATCGCGGCTTACATGCAGCCGAAGTTCGGATTCCAGGGCCCCAACGGCAAGATGCTCATCAGGCTGGCGAGCTTCCTGCAGCAGTTGACGGACCCCTGGATCATTATCGCAGATTGGAACACCCCGCCATCGACGTGGGAGAGGACAGGATGGCTGCGCAAGCTCGGCGCCGAGCTCATCCTCCCGACGAACAGCGACACCACCTGCAACCTCGGCAAAAGGCTCCCTCATCGACTGCGGTATGCGCAAGAAGGGAGTCGCTGACACGGTCAAGCTCGAGACGATTACCGAGGTACCTTGGAAGACCCACGTCGGGCTTCTTCTCTCACTACGGGCTAGTAGGCAGCATTGGTGGAACAGAGTACTGGTCGCTCCCAAGCAGTTGCCCACGGCCCCACGGCCGACGCAGCAGGCCGACCCGAACAGCAAGAGGCAGAAGGCCATCGCCGAGCGACGTGCCCAACGGCAAGCTGCACTCGACCACGCATTGCAGGAAGCCTACGCAGAGCTTCACCAAAACGATCAGCACACCGACACCCTGCCGACGCAGCACGTCGGCTTCGCTATCCCGCTCGACCTCTGGGAAAAGGTCGTGCAGTCGGGTTTCGGGGAGGGAAGGTCTCGCCGCGTTGCCCCACCTGCCACCCTCCCTCCCCGCGAGTTCGTGTTGTCCAAGGCTGTGCCTGTTCCATCGGCTTCGAAGTCTGACACACGTGGGGCCAAGCCTCGACGTGGGCCAGCTTCGACTTTCCCGAGCTTTCCACAGTCGATGGGTTCGCAGATTGGTTCTAAGGAGGGCGAGATGGTCGATGTCGCTTCCGACATCAAGTTGCACTACCTTCTGCAAAGGGACATGCACGGACAGAACCAGATCGCTGAGAGGTTCGCGGCTTGGGCCCATAACGTAGAGAAGGCCACGCTCGTCCATCACGACATCCCGGAGGACAAGCGCGACGAGCACATGGGCCGCGACGTCGGGTATGCCATTGGTTGGAAGCGTACACGTGCCACGCCATGCCGACCACATATGCGCGACCCGCTCTTGGAGTGGTGGCACTTGTCCACCACGCCGTTGGTGCGAGATCAGCATCTACGACGAACGGAAGCAACCCTGGAGGCCAGCCGTCTGGAAGCCAAGATTGCGGAGATCCTCGCTGTCGCCGTCGCCAACGACCTCCAGACGCCGTTCCAAGACGACGACGAGCTGTTCGCGTGGATCGCCGCCGTCGGCAATCTCAGCACGCAGCCGCTTCAGGACATCCAGGACCTGATCGACACAGGCGAGAAGTACAAAGCCCGAGCGATCGGCATCAGCCTCACAAGATCATGGAGAGCCTACACGTCATGGGCTACGAAGATGTGGAAGCAGGCCCCAGGGTTGCTCCACAAGCACGTCAAGCCTCCCGCCCAGCCGAAGTTTGAGCACGCGGACTCCAACGGCCACACGTACGCCACGCCAGCCATCATCATGGACAGGAGAGCCGGCGATTGGGAACGTATTTGGGGCGACCCCTCGGCTGGCGAAGCCGAGGTGTTACGCGGGCTAGACGTTCTCATCAACAGGGCCAGGCAAGAGGATGCCGAACCCTTTCAGCTTGATGTCTTGGACGCGGTCCTTGCCCGTCAGAACCCCAAGAAGAGCCGAGGGGTAGAACAACTTCGGGCCGATCGAGGTCCAACGTCTACCACGACCAGGCAGAGAAGAGCTGGTCCACATCCACGATTGCGAGAAGCTGGTGATGTGGCCCTTCCAGTTCTTCGCAGTTGTTGGCGCAGTAGCGCCCAAGCCCACGGGGGGCGACCGTATCCTGGGGCAGCTCCCATTTGTGATGAAGGCATGGTCGAAGTTGCGCTGCCCCCTTTGTGAATCCTGGTGCGACGAGCTCGCCGAGTTCTGGGACACAGCTGTACGCAAGAGCAGCGCATTGCAAGCGTCCTTGACCAGGGCTATCATGGACGAGTGCTGCTCTTTCCTCGGGATCACCGTCGGCGCGATCCTGCTCGACTTGGGGAAGTTCTACGACCGCATCTCCATGCCCTTGCTCTGCGTGGCATGCATGAAGCAAGGATTCCCAGCTATCACACTAACCATGGAACTACATATGTACTTAGCCCCACGTTATCTTCGAGAAGGACAGTGGCTCAGCAAGGCCATCACCGTGGGGAAAAGCGTGGCGGCGGGGTCCCCGCACGGAGGGGAACTTGTCAAAGCCATGCTCGGGCCGCCGTTGCAGGCTGCCCACCAGCGATACCAGCTCTCCATCATGATGCGCACGTTTGTGGACGACACGATCATCAGGACGGAGGGCACGGAGAGCAATGTGGAGAGCACGCTCGTCTCCTGAGGGGCCTTCATCGGCAAGGCCATGATCGACGTAGGCCTAACTATCAGCCCCAATACGGTAGTAGCACCACCTCGAGCAAGCTCACGAACCGCATCGTCAGCCGCTTGAGGAAACAGGGCATCCCCGCCACGGCCGCGTCGACGGCCACGGACCTCGGTGCTGACGCGTCCGCTGGTCGAGCGCGCAACAGGCGCAAGGCAAGGCAGCGGATGGCGCAGGCCGCTCGTCGCGCTACAGCCATCCAGAGGGTGCGCCGCACCGCCCGCCTGCAGCGCATCTCGCGCGGGCTGTGGGGCACTGGAACTCTCCCGCAGGGCACCTACGGACACCAGCACTACGGAGTCCCCGCCTACGACATGGTGAGACTCCGACGCCAGGCTGGGCGAGCAGCAGCGGGGGCTGGCCCAGGCAGGTGCCTCACCACCACCCTCGCCATGGCGTGCGGCGAGGACGACCCCGCCAAGAGCATCCGCAGGCAACAGATCGGCTCTCGCCTTACGCTTTGGAGGCACTGCCCAGAGCTGCAACCGCGCATCTGCAAGACGTGGGACGGCTTGGCTGCGCGGCTGCGGGCAGCAGGGCAGCGCAAGTGGCAGCTGGTCAAGGGGCCAGTCGGCGCCACCATCGCCACACTCCTGGACCTCAACTGGGAGCCCGTCTCGGCCACCCAGTGGGACACCGACGCGGGCAAGAGCTGGTTGATCCCCTCGGCCGAGGACCCCAGCTTCACGGACATGAACGGCGACTACTCGCTGATCATCACGGACATCCAGGATTCGATCGACCGCACCCTGTGGCAGAACGCCTCCAAGCACGAGGCGGGGGACGACCTGCACAGTGGCGGTGACTGCTTTCATTTTCGAAGGGAACAGGACCGCCTCACCAAGCTAGGCGAATTCGACCAGGTCGCCCTCAACAACGTGGTCTGCACTGGAGGGCAATGGCCGCGAGAACGACTACGGGTTGCAAGCTACTACGTCGGCTTGGCTTGCCCAAGGTCCGGGTTCCACACGGAATCCCTGTTTCACAGAATTTGGACATGTCGGCACAACGTCGACCGCGAGGACTACGCCGACAGCGACCACCTGCTCGGCAAAGCCATGGCGAACCACGAAGCGTCGCCTGCGTTGTGGCTACGCGGCGTCCCGCCGACCGCCGCCACTGTGCCCCTGTACGATGAGGAAAAAGAAATAGTTTCTGAGTTTGGAGCCCTTGAGGAGGTTCCGAGAGATGAGCAAGGCTTTAGATAATTTTTCGGAGACGGCTCGGGGGGAGACCACAGCGATGACAGGCGTCGGCGACGCGTTGGTTTCGGTTTCCTCGCCCTGGGGTCCGGATCCAGTGCTCTTGACCCCATCTTCGGCGTCTCTTCGTCCTTGGTCGGCCGAGCCCAGACTGTGCCCCGAGCCGAGCTCTCCGCCTTTGCGACCCTCCTCGAGAGGGTTTCTGGCAACATGCCAACGCGGAGTGCCTCATAGGGCCCCTCCCCCACACTGATCTCGTAGACGCGGAGGCCGCCCTCACCCGACGTCGGGCGCGGAGAGCTCTGGCCGCGTGTATCCAAGCCGACCCCTGGACCGCGTGCCGCTTTGAAGCCCCTGTGGGGCCGAGGCTTCCTGTCCTGGTTCGGGCCCTCCAGGCGAGCGCCCACGACTGGCGCAGAGTCGGGAGCAAGTTTTTCTGTAGGGTTTGTTCTCAGTTTGAGACCCGAGAGTCCATTCGCGAGGGGACCCTCACCTATTGTCGATCCAGTCCTGTTGGGACTGGTTTCTCCCCCCTGCGCGGCCCACAAACGGTCGCTGGGAAGATGCTTCACCCGTCCCACAAGCTCCAGTTCTGGGGACGGTACGGTTTAACGTTCTGCTCGGTGTGTGGCAAATCGGCCACTTCTGACCCACGTTGGCTCGTAGATCGGTGCACGCCCTCCCCGAAAGGTGCCCAGAACCTCGCGAGAATTCAGAGGGGCCTGTATCCCACCGTTGGCGGACCACCAACGCACGTGGTGGATGCCGAGCTGTCCAGACTCGCCGAGTAACCCGTCTGGCTTTCCCAAGTGACTACCGTTGTCGTTCATTCCACGAATCCCACGAATCCTCCTCCTCCTCCTCCTCCTCTTCCTCTCTTCGTCTTCTTCTTCTTATTACTATTCTTCTTTTTCTTCTTCTTCCTTTTCCTCCTCCTCCTCATCATCAGAATCAGTATCAGTATCAGTATCAGTATCTGCATCAGTATCAGTATCAGTATCAGTATCAGTATCAGTATCAGTATCAGTATCAGTATCATCATCATCATCATCATCATCAGCATCAGCATCCTCATCCTCATCCTCATCCTCATCCTCATCCTCATCCTCGTCCTCGTCCTCGTCCTCATCCTCATCCTCATCCTCATCCTCATCCTCATCCTCATCCTCATCCTCATCCTCATCCTCGTCCTCCTCCTCCTCCTCCTCCTCCTCCTCCTCCTCATCTCATCATCATCATCATCATCATCATCATCATCATCATCATCATCATCATCATCATCATCATCATCATCATCATCATCATCATCATCATCATCATCATCATCATCATCCTCTCTCTCCCCGCGCCCCCGCGTGGGCCCCTGGGATGGCCCGAAGAAGCCATCCCAGGCCACCTCATTGCTCCCAGAGATCTCTCTGCTCATCCTGATTGACCGCTCTGCTTAACTCTGTGTGTGTGTGTGTGTCTTCGTCCCTTTTCCCGTCAGCTCTGATGGGCGACGTGTCTAAGCGGGCTGGTGGGGATATAATCGTTTGCAACCAATTCACGGACGGATGGCGGGTCGTTTTCAATAATTGGCTCTCGCCTTGGCGCCGCGCACATTTGTCTTGAAAGTATGCAACAAGGTCACGGATGGAGGGTGATTCCTTTCGAAATGTGGCTCTTGCCTCAGCGCCGCGCAAATTCGTTTTAAAAGTCTGTAGCAGTTTCAATGGTTTCGTGCAGTTGAAGTCGTAAGAGCGGCGTTCTGGCACGATTCAAGGTTGTCAGGACGCAACATTCATGCTAATTCGCTGTGATGAAGTCACAGGAATGGTGTTCTGGCACGATTTAGAGTTGGCAGGACGCAGTCACGTTGATTCACGGCGTCGAAGTCCCAGGAACAGTGACTTGGCACGATTGAGGATTCTCCATCGGTTGTCTCCCAATGGGGCACCTGCAATGAACAACATATTCGTATAAAGACCTGTGAAGAGGGAACTTGGAGGGAAGGCGCGCTGCAACATCATTGATGCGTCCTGGGTTTCCACTGGTCCTCCTCCTCCTCCTCCTCCGCCCTGCCCTTCCTGCTCCCGCCATAGTCTTCTGGCCCCCCTGACGGCTGAAGACCTCAACAACCAACAAGCATCACAGATTCCCATCATGCCACGGAAGACAGCCCGAAGGACAGAACATTGGCTGATTGTGACTGCTCTTTGCGCCTGCCCGAGATCCCCCAAAATGGCAACACGTGACGCCGTGCAACACGTGCAACAAACGTGCCAGCAACGGAAACCAAAGACAAGCAGCCTGGTCTGTCTGTTGGCCAGCTGCACCTGCGTCGCCGCGCCGTTTGTCCTCGACGCGCACCGCAAACCCGCGGCAAGCCCTGCGCCCCGCGCCCCAGCAGACGAAGCCGGCACCGCGGCAAACCCCGCGGCAGGCCCAAGGCGCCCGAGGCGGCGTTTGCCCTGGCGGTCGCGGCGCCCTCCCCAGGACGCACGGTCGCGCGTCGGAGCAAACGGCGCGGCGACACGTGCACCGCAACAGAAACATCAGCGCCGCGGCAAATACTGCGACTGGGGAGCTCTCGACCCCCCCCATGTCTGCACGTTCCTCGAGGCCAGGCCGATCCGCGGCGGAGGAGGAGGAAGAGGAAGAAGAAGAAGAAGAAGAAGAAGAAGAAGAAGAAGAAGAAGAAGGAAGGAGGAAGGAGGAAAGAGGGAGGAGGAAGGAGGATGAGGAGGAGGAGGAGGAGGAGGAGGAGGAGGAGGAAAGGAGAAGGAGGAGGAAGGGGGAGAAGGATGAAGGAGGAAGGATGAGAAGGAGGAGGAGGAGGAGGAGGAGGAGGAGAAGGAGGACGAGGAGGAGGCGGAGGAGGAGGAGCACCACTGTCCCACCGCCTTCGACGGCGCCGACCCACCAGCGCGGCTGAGGGGCTCCTCCTCGGCTGCGCAGGGCGGACGACGATCAGCAAAGACAACCCCAAGAGGCAACCCAGGCTGGCCCCAGGCGGTCTCAACGCCCGAAGCCAGCGCGCAGTTGCCGAGACTGTCCTGGGCTACCCGCGGGGTCTGTCGAGGCAAGCCTGGAGCACCTCCTGGCCGGGGGCTGCCTGTGCACAGCCTGGGGCATTGACAGCAGCGGCGACGACGGCGACGGCGACGAAGACGACGACGGCGATGATGGCGAAAGCGGCGGCCACAGCGGCGGCGGCGACGATAGCGACGACGACGACGACGACGACGGCGACGGCGACGGCGACGGCTACGGCGACGGCGACGATAGCGACGGTAGCGACGATAGCGACGGCGACGACGGCGACGGCGGCGGCGGCGCCGACGGCGGCGGCAAACGCCGCGGCGGCGACAGCAACGTTGACGACAGCGGCGGCGACCGCGGTGGCCGCAGCGGCTCCTCAGGGGCCTCCGGGGCGTAGCGGTCGCTCAGCGAGGCCCCGCACCCCATGGCCCCATGGAGAAGCCCGCGCTCGTGGCGGCGGGCGCGTCCCGGCCGCTGCAGGCCACGCCGAGCCGACCGACGGCAACGACGACGACGCCGGCGGCGACGGCGGAGGACGGCGGCACAGCACTCGCCGCCCTCCTCCTCCTCCTCCTCCTCCTCCTCCTCCTCCTCCTCCTCCTCCTCCTCCTCCTCCTCCTCCTCGGACGAGGACGACGGAGGAGGGGGAGGCCAGGGGGAACAAGCATCAGGTCAACGAGGACTGAGCACCAGAGAGAGAGAGAGAGAGAGAGAGGGGT